ATAAAGAAGCTGGGTATATTGTTCTGTCTTTCTAACTATTCCATCTAAATCTTACTTCCCTCCCTTAACCTCCACCCTAGGTAGCATTTCCTAGTGGTCTTCCTAATACTCTCTGTTGCTTTTTCTCTCGGTTTGCTTTGATGCTCAGATATACTCATTGGATATTCTCTAGGACTAAATTCCAGTCATCTGCATATTTTAGAAATGGGGACTCCATCAACTTTATGTTCTACTATTTTACAATGGCCAGAATCTTGTCACTTAGGACCTGTACTATTCCTTTAAAGGTCTGGCAATGACAAGGTAATTCTGACAGCTACTGACTCTGTGACTCATAAACACAGGGTAATTGTCTTCAACATTTGGGAAGAAGTGCCGGTTGTAAAGTAGACCCATTATTTTCATATTATCAGGGCAACAGAAAGCAGAATCCATTTATCATCCTGTTGAAAAATTAGCTTCATCACAATAGTTCTTAACCTAGAAGTGTCAATATTAGAAAGTGTGAATTATTCTGCCAGTGTGGAAAGCAGCAACCCATGGGCTGCTGCGGGCCTTTGTACTCTCTAGCTAGCTTGCAAGCAGCTGAGATGACCGAATGTAGCAAGGCATCAGATCAGACAGAATCCTTGAGATCACTCGGAGCACCCAGCTTCTAGATACACACCGCCGGAGCACCACACAGGCACTGGACACACAGTGCAGGAGCACCACACAGGCACTGGACACACACTGCTGGAGCACCACACAGGCACTGGACACACACTGCTGGAGCACCACACAGGCACTGGACACACACTGCCAGAGCACCACACAGCCACTGGTCACACACACTGCCGGAGCACCACACAGGCACTGGACACACACTGCCGGAGCACCACACAGGCACTGGACACACAGTGCTGGAGCACCACACCAGCACTGGATTACTGTCGGAGCTCCACACAGGCACTACACACAGTGCTGGAGCACAATACAGGCGTTGGGCACACACTGCCAGAGCACCACACAGGCACTGGACACACACTGCTGGAGGACCACACAGGCACTACACACAGTGCTGGAGCACCACACAGGCACTACACACAGTGCTAGAGCACCACACAGGAACTACACACAGTGCTGGAGCACCACACAGGCACTGGACACACACTGCCAGAGCACCACACAGGCACTGGACACACACTGTCGGAGCACCACACAGGGGCTGGGTGCACACTGAAGGAGCACCACATAGGCGCTGGGTGTGCACTGCAGGAGCACCACACCGGCACTGGATTACTGTTGGAGCACCACACAGGCACTGAGTGCACACTGCCAGAGCACTAGACAGGCTCTGGGCGCACACTATTGGAGCACCACATAGGTGCCGGAGCAGGCACTGGGTGCTGTTCAAACTCTTATTGACAGGACAGCTGTTCATTTCCGTTTGCCTAGGGCAGGGATGCTTTACAACACTTCTCCGGGTGTAATTATCCCTTGAACTTCAATTCACTCTCTAGAATGCCATGATTCAGATGACATGCAATGATATGATCACACTATTAATTGAACATCTCGATCGGCCATTTCTTTTCATAGAGAAGAGCCCTAAAACCCAGAAACATGTCTGAGAGACTCCAGCTCGGTAGGGCAAGATGATGACACTTGTCTCACTTCCTTTCCTGTTACTGTAACAAATACCCTGACAAAAGCAACTTACTAAAGATAGGGTTAATTCGGATCCACAGTTCAAAAACAGCATTTCCTTACAACAGGGAACTCACGGCTGCAGGATCTTGAAGCAGCTGGACCTTTGGACATGCCTGTGGGGGATTATCTTGACTGTGTTATTTGAGATGACAAAGCCCATTCAGAGAGGATAGCAACACGCCCTGTCTGGGATCCTGGGCCGTATAAATGGAGAAAGGCAGCTGAACAGCAGCAAACATTTATTGACTTCAGCTTTTGGATTGTGAATGTGATGTTAAAAACCCTGCCCATCACTCTGACACTGGTCGTTCTCTATGACTAATTCTATCCGAATTCTCTGTTGCTGTGATTAGACACCATGGCCAAGAAAACTTACAGAAGAAAGAGTTTATTGGGCCTCACAGTTTCAGAGGGTGAGTCCATGACCATCATGACAGAGAGCACAGCCGCAGGAAGGCAGACAAGTTGCTAAGCAGTATCTGAGAGCTTACATCTGATCCCCAAGCATGAGGCAGAGAGAACTAACTGGGAAGGGCCTTACCACAAACAACCAAAAAAATAGATTAAGGAAGAAACACAACCTGTGTTATAAGTGCTGGGGATGTAGCTCAATGGTGGGGCATTTGCCTAGCATATATGATGCCCCGAGTTCAATTCCCAGAACCCCTACACACCACACACACACACACACACACACACACACAACCAAACAAAACAAAGAAAAAAGCTAACTATACAGCAATATAAATAAAATACTATTCAGCAATTAAAAGAGGTGAACTATTTGACTATTGATATACTCAGCAAAACTAATGAATCTGAAAATAGTACTGAGTAAAAGGAGGAAAACCTAAAAGAATACATACTGCAATATTTTTAAATGCTAATGCCAGGTGTGCAGGTAAATACCTTTAATCCCAGCACTCAGGAGGCAGGACCAGCCAGATAACTTGAGTTCCAGGTCAGGGCTGATCTATATAGCAAGTTCCAGAACAGCCAGAACTACATGGCGAAACCTTCTCTCCAGAAACCTTAATGTTCTTATTAGTGAATATCAATTACGTATAATAATGAGTTTAATCTGCTTTCTGATGATATCATTTTCTGAAAATTGAAATTGTAGTGAAATTATAGAAGATCGCGGATTGCGTGGGAGACGGAGACTTCATAGGCTAGAAATAGGGCATGGCGCAGAAAGACATTTTTTAGAGAAAATCAATAATTCATTGTTTTGATTTTGGTTGCTATGACTTGGATGCTACATAATCACGCCCCAACTCATGCTCGTGCCTAATTCTTGATGTGGTGGTTTGGAAGAGTATAGGGTAGTTCATGGCGGGATTGATGGAGCTCCAGTGAGAATGGGTTAGTTCCTTCAGCGCATTGTTTCACAGCGAGTCTTACTTCCTCACAGAGGAACAGCACCGGAAGAAAAACAGCGAATTATCCTGGGATAAACAGTGAGAGCTGGTTCCAGCAATCGAGTTCCCACATCTAATGAGGTGTTGTTGGCGAATGTTAAAGACTTAGCACTGCTTTCATATCATTAGCTGCAATAGAAAACCCCCAGTAGGGCTGGAGAGGTGACGCCAGCGGTTAGGAGCACCTGCTGCTCTCGCAGAGGATCCCAGATTTGGTTTCCAGCACCCGCATTCACAACTGTCTGTAACTCCAGTCCTAGAGAATCAGGCACTGTCTTCTGACTGTTGTGGGCATCTGCACACATGTGGCCCCCCACACAAAGTGAATATATATATTTTTTTTCAAGGCATGTACACATGTACATTAAATTAATTAATTAATTAAAAAAGAAAACCCTGAGATAAATTTGTCAGATATTTCCAAGGCTAATTTACAAGTGAATATTTAGTGAATGTAAATTAAAAGCCACTTTCAAAGAGAGCCTTTTTGCCATACAGGGTAACTTAAGGTCAATGTCCCATGAGAGTATGATGTACTGGAGCACACTGCACAGTCACGCATTCTCTTCTTTTCCCATTAGTCCCTATTGCTCTTCACAAAACTTCACATCCACTTTTGTGTCATCGGTAGAGGGCACGCATGTCAACAGAGGATTCTGTGTGTCTATAATGTCTAGGGCCTACAAATGAAAGGAAAAAAAAAACGTGATGTTTGTCTTTCTGAGACTGAGTTTATTAAAAAATTAAGCCCAAGAAATGTTTGAGTCGTTGAGGATACAGAAATGACGGAGGCCTGAAGCCATCTTAAAAGCGCTGTTATTTAACCCATCAGTTAAGATGGTAAGCAACGGTCGTCATTTAATCAGATCATTTAATGATAGTGCGGTTCTAATCGTGCAGTAACTAGTGTAAGGCCTGAAAGTCCAGGAAAAGTCTTCAATATAGCCTTTGCCTATTAGAGCGCTTTTGAGATGAAGCGGAATTGCTGGAATTAGAAACCCGTGTCTGAGGATGCTCACTCTAGCAGATTTGCTGAACAAGATAGATCCTCCATCCCCTGCACCCCCATCCCACAAAGCAGCCACAGCTGGAGGCTGTATCACACAGAGGACAGAGCATCCTCTCCCTGAACAAAAATCTGACAGGCTCACTGCATTAGGCTGTGACATACAAAATATGGCATAATTGTAGGCTCTAATCATCACGATGATAGCTGCCTTATAAGAGAGGTCAAATCCCATTTTTATATCCCGAATTTCTAAAATATTGTTTCGTCAAAAAAAATCAATTTCTCATTTTTCTAGTGTTAACTTGAAAAGGGTATAATTGATCAAGCCTAAATCCCTTACATCACCCCAGACTGTGTGAAAGGCTCACACACCCAGCAAGCCACTTGAGTTGGGGGCAGGCGAACAGCAGCCTTCAGCATCTAACACCCATGGGCCCAAAGGGCTGCAAAGCAAGAACACATTTTACATCCTTTGGTTAAGACTGTGGCGAAAATATCGGCTCATGTAATATGCTCAGCTGGCTCATTGGGGTTTTGTGGTCCAATTTGCGGATAAGATATTTATAAAATCCGGTGATTACAATGCCATCTCATTAACATTTGTTTAAGTGAAAACCACAGAAGGCGGCATTTGAGCTCCAGCCCGAGAGGAGAGAGGATGAATAAGGAGGCTGACTCTCCTGCCTCAGCACAGCAGAAAGACACCCCGATGGGCAGGCACCCTCTAGCTCCCTTATAGTTTGATTTGGTCCTTCCAGAAGGAAAAGTCTGTGGGAAGAAGCACAGCTTTTGCTTTCTTTTGTTTGCTACCTAAGCACAACAAAATTAAGTCAAGACCAAATCCATTGCCCCACAAATTTACGTTCTCCGCTGCTTACGCTATTTTCCAGGAAGTCACTTCCTCCAGGATGTCTGCCTAGATTAGTGATCACACTGGGTCTTGGCAAGCTCGAGGGAGTTCTAGACTTGACTGGACTTGCGGTGATGACAGTGCAATTGCTCTCGCTGCCTTCTGCTTTCCTGTCCCTAGTCCTCGGAGGAGTTCTGGTGTAAAAATGGCTAGACTGTGTTTCCGTTCTGGCACATGCTGGTTGTAGAATCTCTGACAATGTCTCCTGTGTGAGAGTGTGGCATAGTGGGGGTGGAGAGCACTATACAAATTGCACAGCGGGCACTCGGTCAACAGTAGTACAATTACTGTGATCACGCTGACAGCTGACTTTCTCCTCTAGTCCGTCTCAACTTCACAGGTGGTTTAAGTGATGCGTCGTGCAGAGAACCAGCCCCAGGGCTATCCACATGATGGGAATCCTGTAACTTCTGACAGAGCCTATGCTGTGTCCAGAGCACTGGGAAGCTGGACTCCATGTTCAATGACTAATCAAATCTGGTGATTATTACAGTGATGTATACGACGGTACATGAGGACTCTGCAAAAAAAAAAAAAAAATCTACAAGCAGCTCCTCTTTCTTTGTCAATTACAAATGAAATCCAAACTTCTGGCACCCCTTCCCTCCTAATGTCTACCATAATTTCTACCGCATCATGGACACGTGTGTACATGGCATGTATATGCAGAAGGGTGGGAAGAAGAAAGGAGGAGGGGGAGGGGGGAGAGAGGAGGAACAGAAGCAGGAGACTTTCTCAGTGGTACTTAAAGTCATTGAACATACAGACAGTAATTCCAAATAAAGACGCTCAGGCCCAGAGCAGAGTGCTAGACTCCATCGCCCAACTGAAAACTAGGATTCGCTTTTGTGGTTCTTACCCTCCTTGTGCGTCTGAAAGCCAGGAACAGAGAGCCACTGGCTAGCAAGGACTGCTGCGACAACTTTAAGTCCATGCTGCCTCTGGTACTCAGCCTCTGCAAACCGGGGATGCAAAGCAGTTAACCCTCTTCAGGCCAAGTACGAAGCACCAGGTTATTACGCCATTTCCAACAAGAACAGAAGACTGGCTCTGTCCTGAGAGCCAGAGACCTGGGCTGAGCATTCCTATGAAGACAGCTTGCCAGCCTTACTAGCCCAGAAGCCATCAAATGGATGAGAATGAAATTCTTGGGATGATACCCCAGGAAATATCACACGAAGAATACACGGGCATAGCCAGTTTCCAGGGCTCAGTCTCCGTCTCAGATCTACAAGGCAACACTGTAAAAGGCTGGAAGGGAGCTGAAGAGGTCGCTTAGGTTGTAAAATGCTTGTTAAAAATTATAAGGACCTGAGTTTGGATCCCCAGTACCCACATAAAAAGCCAGGCACAGGAGCACATGTCTATAACTCCAACACTGGAGGCAGAGACTGGCAGACCCTTTGGGCTGGCTTGCTGGCCAGTAAGCCTAGTTGACTCAGTGAACTTCAGGTACTCCAGATACAGGGAGAGACCCTGTCTAGAAAACTCAGATTTCCAGAAAAGCTGAGCTGTAGCTCAGCAAGAGCGCTTGACTAGCATGCCTGAGACCCTAGGATCAATGCTAAGTACTGCTCCCCAAAATAAATAAATGGTTATTTGAGAAAGACACCCAACATTGAAAGCTGGCATCTACATACACATTCACACCCTTGTATAAATATACCATACACAGAAAGAGAAAAAAAATGGAAAGGAAAAAAGGAAGGGAGAGGGATGGGGAGGATGGAAGGGAAAGAGGGGGGGCAGGGAAGGAAGCCGGGGTGAAGTGCTCTCCACTTACGTGGATGTACCTACTTGCTTACAGTGAAACATACACAAGATATAATAGGTGTTATTAGTGAAGACATTTTTGTTGTGTTGTTTTTAATAGATTTTGTTGAGTTTGTTCTTTGATAATTTCATACATTCATAAAGCACATTGTGTTTATTGTAACTCCCCATGCTCTCTAGCTTCCTCTCACTCCTATTACCCCCCCCATTCCTTTCCAGCATCATGACTCGCTGTTGTAAGTTTTCTGCTTTATTTTGTTTTGTTTTTGAGAGCCACTAATTTAATCAGGTTCATCTGCGTGACCGTGATGAGCTCCTCAATGGGTTCACAACTGTTGACAATAGCTGCCCCTCCCCCAGAATCCATCAATAGCCAATACTTCAGTAGGGAGGAATAAAGCCCCATAAGCTCCTCCTCAGTCCATGATTGATCACTAATAGGCCAACACTTGTGTGAATCCAGTGCAGCCAGCCACAGCTACTGGGAGATTGTGACTGCATTCATTGTTCTGTATACAGAATGCAGTGTTCTAAATCCCTCTCCTTACCTTCCCGTTCTCGCATTCCTTCTGCTCCCTCTTCTGCAATGATCCCTGAACCCTAGAAGGTCAGAGACACATGCTGTTTAAAGGATAGGAAGACAAAATCCTCATTCTACTCATTAAATCTTTTTCATCAAGAGAAGTTATCCAGAGGAGATGGTTTCCTGGTCATGTCAAACATCAGCACTTGAGTCCTTGTCCTCTGGTGGCTTCTTCCCACAACTGTCAATCTTGATTGTCAACTTAATCAGATTGAGAGGCAACAAGGAGATCACGGGGCACATGTCTGGGTACATCTGTGAGACTATTTCCAGAAAGGAGAGAGAAAGAGAGAGAGAGAGAGAGAGAGATCATAAGGGTTCTGACTTAGTAAATGTGTTGATCATGACGGTTTCAAATTTGGAAAGGCTAGTTGCAAAGTGGTGGATCTGTGGACACTGGCTACCAGCTTGCTCCACTTCCTTATCTACTATAGTGTGAACTGCCCTGCCATACACCCCTTGCCATGATGGACAGAAACCTGTGACACCGTGGGCAAACTAAGTTATCCCTGTTGAATGTTTGGTAACAGCGAGGATAAAGCTCAGCCTTTATCACAGCTGTAATATCTTAAATTCCCCACTCCCTTTCCCAGACACACACTCTTACTGTGCGTAATTCTCGCTCTCAGTTCTACCTCACTCTGTATAATTAGAAGGACCAGCAGAGAGCCCACGGTGATCGGAAAGACATTAAAATTCCTTCCCACCAGAAATCTAGCTTGTCTAATAATTTGCAATTGCCCTTGCAGCAATGACCTTCAGAGGCAGAACTCTGGGTTGAAACAGCTCTCCCAGAAAGTCCGGTGTAAGTGCATGATGAATACCCTAAGTACTGAGACACGTGTTTTCTCATGAGCTTCCGAGCAATTGCGGAGTCAAGAAAAGGGAAGAAGGGAGACCAGAAGATCTGGATGGGTAGAAAGCTGAGTGTGCAAATGAAACAGGAGCCATGGAGGAGAGAAGGGAAAATCCATGAGAAAGCATTAAATTCAGGGAGCGGCGTGAGTAGCCCACAGTTCTGAGGTAGAGTAGAAAGAAAATATCCAAACATGAAGGGCACCGAGAAAAGGCTTAGTTGATATTAGTTTCTTCATTCACTGAGTGTGCATTTCTGAAGTTTCTATCAAGTCTCAGACACTCTGGGCACTGGCTGGTTGAGTGAGAAAGCCCCGGTGTTTGGTCAACCAGGTCTGTATTCAAACACTATCTCGGCCTATTCTCTGGTGTGTATTTGAACCTAGAGCACTGGTTTCCTTCTTTGTTGTATGAAGAGGCTGAATGCAATGATTGTCCTAACACAATCTCTCATACATACTCACAATTTCTACCCACTCTCAGCTGATGTAATTTAGCTCAGATTTACTCTTTCAATACTAGAATTCCCAGTTGTTTCAGGAGACTGCCCTACCCAAAGCATATAACCTGAAAGTGGTACTCGATTCCAGCATCCCTGGGCCTCAGACACATGGCCATCAGCAGCACTGTATTCTCTCCAAGACCTCAGAAAGCATCATCTGAAGCTTACTCGGTGGCAAGTGATATTTTTCTTTTAAAATACAGATGAAATAAATGACTATATCAATAACCTAGCAATCTTTTGAGAGATAATGTAACCCAGGAGCCAGCCAATGTGAGATGTAAAGGAATCAGCTGAGCTGTGTTGATAATCTATATTTGCTTTGAAAGGAAGAGAAGACTGGTCCAGATAGCATCCACATTTGAGTGAGCCCTCAAATCATTGCACCAGGCTGGGGCTAGCCTGGACCTGGGGCCATGAGAAGCCAATACACTGGCATAGGACCATGGAGAACATTGCAAAGGCAGCCACTAGACTGAAGAGCCTGTGATACTTCATACCGGTTAGCCAAGCCAAGTTGTGTCTGAGTCCACCTACTGGCGGAGTATCTAGCTTACCAACAGTCTAGCAATGGTTGGATTTAGCCAATTGAAAATATCTCATTCACTTATTGAACAAATGTTTATAGAGGACTATTATGTGACAGAAAGCTATGGTATGAAGGACACATGGAGATCTTGGGGCTTGCATATAGTGAGAGAAGACAAGACAATAAACAAGAAAAGAAAGGAGGGGGAGAGGAGCCGTCTTCACCTATTGTCTAAAATAAAACGCTGGGATCCTATGTGAGAGTTAAAAGATGTCACACAAAGATCTGAGTGACAGCAAAGGTATTGCCTCATACTCCATAGACTCATGCACCCTACTTACTGGATGGGACTTTATTTTTAAGCACTCACTGTATATATGATGGAACTGATATCTCTGAAATCACACTGAGGATTCTCTCTGCACGGGGACTTTTCTGTTTATTTACTGAATAGTAATTATTTGACAAATATTGATTGAGCCAGTCTTCTGCATGCTCAGGGCACTGTGACAGCTGTTCTCTAAGACCAAACTCCCTACTGTAACATAAAAAGCAAGAAGACGAAGAAAGCTGAGGTCCATCCTGAGCTAACTATGTGGCCCTGCCTGTTTCACATAAATGACAAAAAGAAGGGAAAGGGAAGAGATGTGAACTCACCCAACAAGACTGAACAGAAGAGACGGAGATAAGCGAAATCTCAGAAATGTCAAAAGGGTGATTGAAGCTCAGCAAACACCATGCAGGAAGAACGGTTTGGGTGGGGGCGCTGAAGGAAACTAGCGAGTAGCCAGGGTGAAGTGGGACATGGTTCTGTCTACCATACTCGAGAGTTCAGGCTCCCAGGAGCCTAATTGCAAAGGAGAAATGTTAGACACAGGCTCCCTTTACACTCTAAGCGTTGACACTCTACTGCTGTCAAACAACTTTGGGGACTTCATGCTAAGACACCAACAAGCAAAAAGGAGATCAGTCAATCTGGCAAGGGTAATTTGGTCCTGGTTGGCAGGAGGGACTTTGTTGCTGTTGTTATTCAACACTAGCTGCCCTCTGTCAGGTGCTCCACCAAGGACCTCTTGATGCTCCCATGCTCACCAGTGAATGTCAGGTAGACAAGGACAGCAACCATAGCCCGAGATGGGCATAGGAATCTTGGGCTCAGAACCTGAGCTTAGGGGCTTGGTTGACTCCAGAAGCCAAACCACCTAGACTAGTACAGAGACTAGTCAGGTTTAAAGACTTCACTGTGTAGTGAAGAAGGGCAATTATGTCCCTTGAAGTCAGCTGGCCCAACCCTGAGATCAGTGTAGCAACAACAGTTACAGTGTGCCCAATAAAATTTCACATGAGTGATCTAAGACCAACTCAAACTCAATAGTGAATATTCTCGTAGGGGATTTCATGATAAGCATTAAGTTTGAATATCACTAAAGTGTTCCACCAAGGGTCCCTCCTCATAATAATGCTCACGGCCCCGAGCTGATAAGAATTCTAGGTGCTGTTGATCCGAGCTGAGTGACCTTCATCTCTAAGCTTTCTCTTGATAAACTCTCCCAGGGAGAAGTGTATGGCCAGGGATTGGCTTCTGTGGAGACAGAACAACCCCCAGATCTTCATGCTTCAGTATGGGACATCTCTGAAAGAGAACCCTAGCTCCCTGCAGAATCAGCAGGGGCTGCCCTGTTACAGAAATACAAAGCATTTTCTCAACCAACCCGCTCCTTTCCTCCCCATCACGTTACAGATACACATCCTGAAAAGACTCTAAACTTTCCAATGAACTCTGTCTAGACATTTATTTCTGAGCCCATAAATTAGGAGGACCACGTGTGCACAGCGACCACATCTCCCTAGACAAATGGACAAGAGTGGAGAGCTGTGGAGCCTTCTGTCTTGGCTTCATCTCCATTCCGCCAAATGTAATAACTATCTCAGAAATCGAGATGTACAATCCTGCATGCCTTGTTCGGAACTGATGAGACTATCCTACAACCTAGTCAATAAAACGTTATATGCAACTTGCTTCTTCTAACACAACTGGCCAATAAAGAGGGAGTGAAGGGCATTTCAACAGCAGAAAGTTAATGCCTTGGTTTCACTCCTGGAGACTGGCCCATGAGAAATGGTTAAGAGGATATTACTGAGGACAGATGACTCTAGAGAAGTCCTTCAACTCCACCAGACTCTTTCCTAACGTATTTTTTATTCTTTTTAAATTTATTATTTTTTATTCATTTTTCTTTTTCCTAATCAATTTAAAAAGCTCCTTCTGACCACACTCAGAACTTTCTCTTTCAAGGCCTATCTCCTGGGGTACTGAGAACAATGAAATGAGGTCTTGTAACACAAATTCTCTTCATAGTACACTAAGCCTATGTCTAGTATAAATAAGATACTTGCAAATGCACCTCGGGAACTCTAACAGGTAACAAGAAGTGCAGTTATGATTACAACGTAACACATTTGGTACGTAACACGATACATATTTTTTTTCAGAGCTTTAACCGCATCTCCTTAACAAGAGCAGAAGCTTTCTCTCCCATTTCACTTAACTTCAAAGCAAGTAGTGATTGTTTGCTGTTGGCCAAATGCTATAGTGTTTTCCCTTACCTACAAGGCAGCAGTCTAGTGCATAATACTATGTCCTCACACCTTGTGACTGCCAGGAAGTTCAACTGCTTCTGTCGTGTCCCTTAAAAGTGACACTGAGCTTTTGTTTTGCATCAGACTGAAAAAGGAGAGAGAAAGACAGAGAGAGAGAGAGAGAGAGAGAGAGAGAGAGAGAGAGAGATCTGCCTTCCCCCAAAGTCACCAGAAGTGTCATCCTGAGGTTTCAAATGCATCCCTTTGCCTGAATGTGTCCCCACCAAAACCTACTTCTAAGTACCCAGAATCTCAGGTTGCTGGTGTGTGTGCCCCCAGATCCATCTGCACCTTATTAAAAGAGGAATTGGGATTGCATCTATCCTACACTAAAACTTTTTAATGGAATAGAAATCCTTTAAGGATTATCTTAAATCTGGGCAATATTGTTAAGTGGAACCTGAATGTAGCCAAATAGCTGCATGGTTAGAAAAAAAAGTCTGTCTTCCTCCTCACAATGATCCCATGAATCAGGGCTTCTGTGTCGCCAA